TCATTATTATATATTTTTTTTATTATTTTATAGTCTAATATTACAGTAAAATTTTAGTAAATATAATAGTAATATTTCTCATTTTAGTAATGTAATTCAATAATAATAATAATAATTATTTTTTTTTTATCATCATTATTATTTTCTTCACATTATTTTACAAAAATGTTTTGTTTTGTTTTCCAGCATGTTTTACAAAACAATAACATTTCTGTCTTCCTACTTCAAAATGATACATTTAATTCAATGTGTTACTTGTCATTTCTATTTAATTATATGTAAGATTTACAACCAATTCCTGAATGAAAGCTCATTAAAACCACATGAAAGTGGCTGCACCTGTGGCTCTGCTCTCCTCCTGCGTCTGTGTTTCGTCTCTCGCTCGTCCCGTCTGGATTCTGACGGCGGGAACACAGTTCGGCAGATCGCCCTCTTCATCCTCTGGGATGGGGTTGTACCAGATCTCTCCCTCGTCGGTGTCGGCGGCGTCGTTCTCCTCGGCTGGGTCCGGCACTTCTGTAGACGTGAATGAAACGCCATCAAACCACTGTTGTTATCAACTAAAAGTATTAAAAACATTTTGTGCTCAACGAAATAAAGCTGAAATAAAATCTAAATATTAGTGTAAATATAACATTAAAATTTAAATATAAAATGTTATTAATTATAAATTAAAAATATTAAATGTAAAACTTAAAAAATTAGAAATGCTGAAAACAAAATCTGAAATTAAAATAAATTTAAAAAAGAAAACTATTTAGAAATATAAAAAACTAATAAAACGACAAAAGCACTTGAACTGAAATAAAACTAAATTAAATAAATGATATTATTTAGAAATACAAAAATACAAAAACTAAAAAAAATTATAAAATAACACGATTACAAAACAAAACAACCTAAAATGAAAAAAAAAACAGAAAAGTGAAAATACAAAAATAAAAGCTAATGTAAAATAACAGTATATAAATCATTATTTTTCTATTTAGCGAACTGTAGTTTAATGAACTGAAGTCATATATAATAATTATTTTACTTTATGTATTTTTCAGTTTTAGTTTTCATTTTAATTTTAGTTACTTTTTTGTAATTTTGTCAGGTGCTTTTGCACCGTGTTCTTATATTTACTATCATTAACTAAAACTATCAAAAACACATTTTTGTTAATTGAAATAAAGTAAAATATAAATACTAGACATAAAACGTAAAGTAAGCGAAAATTAGAAATGTTGTCTTGTACTAAATTTCTAAAGCACTTGAAAAATGAAAAAAAAAACAAACATAAAAAGCACATAAAATTACTCAAATGAAAAATATTTTAGTTTATTACGTGCGTTCGTCATTTTTATTACTTTACTTACTATTTCTAAAAATGTTACATTTCAGAACAGTGACATACTAGAGAAAAAATGCATTTCAGTTTATTTTTCATTTTAATTTTAGTTACATTTTTTGTAATTCTGTTAGGTGCTTTTCAGAATCAGAATCAGAAAGAGCTTTATTGCCAGGCATGTTTACACATACGAGGAGAATTCATATTTAATTTGACACAAAAGAAAAAAGGGACAGATGCACAGTTCGTGCCGATATGAAGTGTTGATTATTAATTAATTTGTTAATCAACTTCCAGTGGACAAAAACTCTGGAAAACATTTGCTATGAGAACAAGACCTCATAAACTTAATTGTACACACCTTTGTCTGTTAGACGTGAGTTAGCGGCCGATGGAGGGTGTGTTTGTGGGTGTGTGCGCTCCTCCTCGGCTGCAGGGGGCGCTGTGACGTCCTCAGGCCGAGCGCAGCTCTGCTGGAGCCACTGGCGCTTTTTGGAGACGGTGATGTGGTTGAACGGGGCCTGACGTGCGCTGGAGTCTCGCTGACATACAGACTCCACCGGTGCTACGAACACAAACGAACGAAGGGCGTCACAAAACAAACCCAACACAGCTAATCCAGCTCATCTGCTGTCATTAGCACAAAACATGCATGTACTGTACATCCGGTTAGATCAAACAAGTCCAAAAATCAAACCTAAAATGTAAAGCATGTTTTTGGGTTTGTAAACATCTCGGGACTCTGACTCGCATCTTTGATCATGAAACCGCTGGACATTCACAGTCTCTGCACTGCTTTCTGATATTCACAAGCAGTGATGCTATCGTTAACTAAAACTAAACTATTAAAAATGTTTTTGTTAATTGAAACCATTTTTCTCAATTTTGAAATATTTAAAATATTAGACATATTATTTGAAATGTTGTCTTGGCAACTAACTGAAATACATTAACTGAAATTACTAACTGAAATAAAACTGAATTAAAAATAAATTAAAGCCATTTAGAAATATAAAGCAACGAATGAATTCACATATTACAATTACAAAAAAAAACTACAATGAAAATCGAAAATATAAAAATTCTAAAAAAAAAAAAAAGCTAATTCAAAATATGTATATGTATAATATTCACTCAAACGCTGCTTTAAAAAGTGAATGTAAAATCTACTCATTCAGGGAGTGTCTGCAGGAAAGCGCACACACATGAAAAGGCAGCGCTGAATAAAGCTGGGTTTGTGTTTGTGGATTACATGCTGGCGCTCACACTTTCACATGAAACAATGCAGTGGCTGTATGTTATTATGCCAGGATGAGAAGCGCTGGCCAGCACACGAGCGCTTCGCTCCGCGTGTGTTTGGAGAGGTCAAAGGAGAGCTGAAAATACAACTCAAACGCTTAATTAGAGCCTTTCACCCCACGGCATTCTGGGAATCAACGGCAGCCCGAGAAGCTGAAGACGTTCACTTTTCTCCAAGTGTCCCAAAGTTAGACAACATTTCATTACTCCAGCTAAACATAAATATACATGAGTGCTTGGAGTCGGTAAGATTTTGTCATGTTTCTGAAAGAAGTCTCTTCTGCTCACCGAGGCTGCATTTATTTGAGTAAAAATACAGTAAAAACTGAAAAAATGTGAAATATTATTATTATCTAAATTAGTTGTTTTCTATGTGAATATCTGTTAAACTGTAATTTATTCCTGTGATGCGCAGCTGTATTTTCAGCATCATTACTCCAGTCTTCAGTGTCACATGATCTTCAGAAATCATAATAATGATTCAAGAAACATTTCTGATTATTATCAATGATGAAAACTGTTGTGCTGATTAATATTTTTGTGGAAACTGTGATGCGTTTTATTTTAGGGTTAATACTGAATGTTTAATATTATATTCATTGCATACATATACTTCGTAGTAGACATCCTTAACTCCTTTCTGCTGTCTGTTGTTCTGTTGTCGGTGTTTCTTTGTCTGAATATGGCGCTTATCACATGCTGTGTGGTATCGGCGTTTGGTATCGGGGCATTTTAACGAGTACGAGTACAGGAGCTCAGTATCGGTATCGGTGCATCCCTATTATAAATGTCTTTACTGCCACTTTTGAGCAATTTAATGCATCCTTGATGAATAAAAGTATTAATTTCTTATACAAACTTTACTGATCCTAAACTTTTGAAAGATAGTATACCAGATTAATTCTGAATAATATAGATGTTTTTCTGAATTGCAATTCATTAAATACAATCTTAATGCAAATATCTATAGGAAGCATTTTAATAAAAACTGATATACATTTTTTTTTATCCTTCCATAAATACTCTCTATTTTGTGCATGATGCAACATGTTTATGGGTCAAAAATTAGGCTATATGTAAACTTAAAGCAGTTATATGAATTTATTTGAATTTAATTCCATTTTATAATTTATTCAAATAAAAATTCTACATCCTTGTCGGTACCCCAATTAAATTCCAACTAAAGCTCTGAATTTGAAAAGAAAACAATTCTGAATGGCGCATAATCAAATTACCAAAAAATATATATATATAAATATAATTAAAACATTAAAATAAGTATTTTAATTATTTAAACATATTCTTGCTTTTATAGATGGTTATTTTTTTTATTTTTTTTTATTTTAATATTTAAATAAATGTAAATAAATATTTAAAATATTTACATAAATATTTTAAGAAAATGTCTCACTTTTACATATTTATTTAAATATTTAAAATATTTAAACAAATATTTTTTAAAATGAAATACACTTAAAAAAAAATACATTTTAAAAAATTTAAATAAATATTTTAAACAAGATAGATTTAAAAAATGTAAACAAATAGTTTAAACAATTAATAAATATAAAATTATAAAATAAATGTTCTTGGTTTTACAGCTGGTTATTTATTTAAATTTAAAATTAAATAAACATTTAAAATATTTAAATACATATTTAAATAATCAACCCACTATAAAAGCAATTAAAATAACATTTGGGGCTGTTTAAGAGTAAAAAGCACATCAGTATATCTGTATGTTCTTGCATGTTCATCTGATGTTCTTCAGTTGTTATTATCTGTGGTGAGCGTGGACGTGCGTCGCGGGACGCATTAGATTTACTCGTGCTGTGACACGCTACAGTAAAGATTGTTGTGATACGCGTGATCCTCTCCGCCGGTGACACATTTGTCTGTCTTTGAGTCAAAGCAGGTCTCAGGTGAATGAGGGCACGTCAATCCAAACATACCTCGACGCCTTCATTGCTAAAACAGTCAGTATACGATTACAGACGCTCAGATGTGTTATTACAGCTCAAGCATTTACCAACAACACAATCATGTGATGCTGCACTTATGTAAGCTGGATTTGAACCTCTCGCTAAGCTCTTTAGCGGCTCTTTCCCGCTCGGATGATTTTCCTCTAAGAACGGGGTGGAAAAGGGAAAACAAGGTGTCAGAAATACGGGTCAGAGTCGCCCGAATCACTGAAAAACAGGCCTTCGGTTCAAACGACGCTCACATTATCAGATGTCAGCGTTCATATCAGCACTAATCACGAGCTGTCACTGTGAATTCACACCACTATCTTCTGCACAGCTGGAGGGCCAGACGAAAACATACCATCAGAAGTTTCTACAATGCTTGATGCTGTATTAATTTCTCTAAAACTACATTTCATTACAGACGTGTTGAATATTCATCGCATTAAAGCCATTAAAACTACAATAACAATATCGATGTTTTTGTGACATTGGCTCAAGCATGCATGGGGAAAAACAGCTAAATAATAATAATAAATGAAAAATAAAATAAGTAAATTCGTTATTAAATAAATAAGAAATGGAGATGCAAACATGCAATGGAAAAAACACTTAAATAAATAAATTCAGTTAATTCAGTAATAAATTAATAAATGAGAGACGGAGATCGACTCAAACATGCAAGGGAAAAAACAGCTAAATTAAATTAAACATGCATACATAAATTAAATAAAAGATGGAGATTGATGCAAACATGCAAGAGAAAAAAACAGCTAAATAACAATTAATTTAATTAAGTTAATTAATAAATAAATGAGAGATGGAGCTTGACTTAAACATGTAAGGAAAATGCTAAATAAATAAATAATCATTTTAAAGAAAGAAAGAAAGCAGTTAATTCATTAATAAATTAATAAATGAGAGACAGATTGATGCAAAAATGCAAGAAAAAACAGCTAAATAACACACAAACAAACAAACAAATAATAAATAAATAAATGCATAAATGAGAGATGGAGGTTGACTCAAACATGCAAGGAAATAACAGCTAAATAATAATAAATAAACAGTTAATTTGATTATTTAAGTTAATTTAGTTTATTTTCATTTAGTTTAACTTGATGCACTAAAATAACTAAAACTGAAAAAGATTTATATATATATATATATATATATATACACACACACACACACATATATAAAGAAAACTAATAAAAAAAAAAAAAAAAAAAAAAAAAAAAAAAAAAAAAAAGGAAATTACCAAAACTGGAAAATATACAAATGATAAATTTGTATATAAATAAATAAACGAATAGCATCTGTAAAGACACATTAAAGGACTGATGAGTAGGCCTGTCGCAATAATCAATATATCGACTTATCGCGCATTAAAATGACAATAATATCGCTTATCGCAATTATTTCTGGGGCAATATATCGCACAACAAAAAGTTGTTATCGTGACAGGCCTACTGACGAGGTTCACTCAACTGTACAGAAACTGTGCATCCAGATTTGCAGAGGGCTGAACGCAGACGTCCAACACCAGCGTGACTGTGTTTGTGTGTTTGATGGAGTTATGGTGAGGTTATGCAGTTCAGAGCTCAGCTGTGACGCTGTTAAAGGCTCTTTCATGACAGAGGACGAGCTCTCACACGCCCAGGATTCCTGCTGAATGACGTTTACCGCCTTCCTCCCACACACGTGCACATCAGCCGCACACTTACACACAAACACGCGTGAACTTTAGACACGTCTAAATATGGAGCAGCGGATTCGATTACAAGCCGCCACACAAGGGAGCCGTACAATGAAACAATTACAGCGGGAGAAATCACAAGAAAGATATAACTAGAAAACTATTTGGAGACTTTTTGCACATTTTCTCATTTAAAAATGCTAAAACAACCCTGAAACTCCAGAGCATAACTATTTATACACGTAAACAACACCTGATGGTCATTAGACTATGTAACAAACTATCAGATAAACTGTCTATATTTGCTTGTTTTATACATGTTTTTTCTATCGCTTCACAAACACAAAAAGTGCCAATATTTTTAACAATAATGTCATTTTCAACACTAGATCTATTGCTTTATCATTTCAAACTGCTTTTCCCCTCCAAAGTGTGGCTTGTAAAGTGTTTCTTTAGAAAAAATGACACTTGCTTTTATATGTTTCAATCCAATTTCTATCTAATGTATTTTAAAGCACGTTTGCTCTGGGTTTCGGGCTGTTTTTAGGGCTTTTAAATGAGCAAGCGTCCCTCAGGGCTCGAGAGGAACGACCGTCCCCCTCCTCCAGTTTCTGGCTTTCTGTCATCCGAGAGTATTCCCTTGATCACTGCAGCAGCCACATCCTCCAGACTGCAGACATCCTCAGAACACATTCTGACACTCAATCTCGTTATGATGTCATCGCCACCGCCGGCCAATCAGATCACTGCGTTACAGCAACACTGGACACAATGTTACTGCACTGCTTGCCAACGTATCACTGCAGCTCCAGTGCTTCTAATGAATGCGTGTGTATCTTATATACAAATCTTTCACCCTAAAAGCAAAAGAAATGTTATTCTGCATAAAAAAATTAAGCTTAATTGTATTTTTTTTGTATTGTATTTTTTATTACTATATTGTGAAAAAAATCAACAATTTTTTTAACTATTTTTTTTTACTTAATTAATGAGGTTTTTTTTAATGATTAAAGGAATTAAAACAAATACTACATTGTACTTATAGTAGCTGGGACTTCATAATTAAAATGTTTCTACAATTCTATTATTTAAATATTTATATATATATATATACTGTATGTACATACACACACGATAACAATAAGGAAAATAATCAAAGGGAACAATTACTTTTTATTAAAATCTGCATAAATGAAAGGAAGTAAAGCAAATACTACATTGCATACTTATAAAAATTGTATGTATATATATATATATATATATATATATATTCCAAAAAAAATATTTTTAAATATTTGGGAGGGGGCAAATTAATGCATAATTGTCAAGAAAATAATGACACAATGCAAAAATTATATTAAAGATACAAAAACAGGTCTCATTTTCTTTTTAGGGGTGATTAGGGTTGAAATATGATTTGAACATCTTCTTGAAGGTTTGTGTGAGATTAACCAGTATTTTCCTCAAATAAACCAGGCTATGTAAATAGATCAGCACACAAATACTACCAAAATAAGTTCAGTTCACTCATTCAAACCTCAGACACCTAAGATTAAAATAAGCCGTGGATAACAGGACGGACTAATCCTACCTTAACGAACGTGTAATGTCTCTTTTCTAATCCGCGCCTGCATTCAAGCCCTCAGGAACAGAGAACAAACAAGTGAAACGACGGCCTTGGCATTCCAAATATTCCCTCCCTGGGGCTCTGCGTTTCCATGGGACGGGAATTCACTAGAGAACAGCTCCCTCCGGCCCAAAACAAACATCACTGGCTCATCAGCAAATACACTTTTTTTGTATAAAATTGTTAAGCATAATGTTGTCAGGGAGACACACACACAATGCTGATGTGTAGACAGGTTGTGTGTGTGTGTGTGTGTGTGGCATATATACTATGTGTATAGATGACAATATGTCTTTTAAAGGAGAGACACTACAGAATTAAATGAACCAAACCAAAATGAAACTTTGCCAATTTAAATACACAACAATTTCAACAGTTGTCTCCTCAAAAACAAACATGCTTCCTGGCCACACTCCCTGAAAATGCACTAGCAATGCCAAAGTCATGGGTTCTATTCTTAGGAAATGCACAGTGATTAAAAAAACAGTTATCAGTGTCTCAGCAATGGATGCTCTGCAGTGAATGGGTGCCGTCAGAATGAGAGTCCAAACAGCTGATAAAAACATCACAATAATCCACAAGTAATCCACAGCACTCCAGTCCATCAGTTAACATCTGGAGAAGACAACAACTGAAACTAATCCAGCATTAAGACGTTTTTAACTAAAATACGTAAAGTGAAACCATCCCTTTTGGCTAAAATACCAGTACATAATTCATAATAACGCTTCCTCCAGTGAAAAAGTGTTCTGGTGTGAATCAGGAGAGAAATCTGCACAGATCAAGCAGCGTTTAAACAGCTCTAAACAAATATGTGTCTGGATTTTGATGTGAGAGACAACACGAGATGCACTTTTTCACTGGAGGAAGCGTTATTATGGATTATGGATTTGTAATTTTAGCAGGAAATGACAGTTTAAAGATAAAAATGTATTAATGTTAGATTTGTTTCTTACAAACGCGCAGCTTTTGTCTTCTCAAGACATTAACTGATGGACTGGAGTGCTGTGGATTACTTGTGGATTATTGTGATGTTTTTATCAGCTGTTTGGACTCTCATTCTGACGGCACCCATTCACTGCAGAGCATCCATTGCTGAGACACTGATGCAGTGCTACATTTCTCCAAATCTGATCTTGGATTAAATTTTCCTTTTTGGGTGAACTATTCCTTTAAGTCACTTTGGATAAAAGCATCTGCCAAATGCAGAAATGCAATTGCATTGTAAATCTCCATGAACACCACGTCCACTTCCTCTAATTCTGCTCGCATGGCAGTAAAGAGCAACTCTATTATTTCTACATAAACTGCCCAAAGGCCACATTCAACACACAAGATGAGCTCTGCTTGTGTTAATAGCTTATCCTTAAATCTGGCCTGGAAACCAATTTACAAAGCCTGTTTTGGTCTTCAGTGTTATCGTGTAGTTTTCTCGTAGGACTGCATTAAATATGACTATAAACGTGCATTTGAAGCCTGCGTGCAGAAAACAAACAAGCCTGCATCCATCAAAATCATTGGTTTACATGCAAGACACCTAAAAGAAGTCAAAGTTACTGCTCTGCACAAACAAAATACAACAAACTTTCATGCATATCTGCCCCAAAATGTAGCCTGATACTTTCAGATTTGTGGTTTACACTGGAATTCAAAGTTCTGAATAGATTAGTAATGGATGCAAGCAAAATCACAATGATTCCTGTTGGTTTCATGATACAAGATAGCCGTCGACCAATTGTTTTCTTGGATACACACTTGACAGGGCTGCAGATTGACCTATAAAATATATTGATAACCCATAACACATCTTACCAGCAGAAGAAGGGTTCGAGCATCTCGCATGTTCAATAAACATTCACATTTAACCTCAGCACAAAACCACCACCATCACCAAGAAGACAAGCGTGAAATGAATTATTCAGAGAGTGAGTGTGTTAGTGGAGAGGAACCAATCCAGCCTCAGGCCCGCCGGCACGCTCCTGCCAAACGTGTTACGTGAAACGGCATTAGTCATGAAGGAAGAGGAGGAAAAAACCCCGGCACCGGTTAAAAGACACCGAGAAGCTCTCTCAGCGCTTTCCACCAGAGATTGTGAGATGAATGAGATGATTTTGAGGTCCTCCACGCCAGCGGGCGTCCATACCTGTCTGCTGCCTCACGTGATTGGCTCTCAGCGAGGAACCCGCGATCCTCTGCTTCATCTCGGACGAAAGCACGCGACCTTTCTGCATCCACTCTTGCATCTTGTTGACGGTGACTCCGGGATGTTTGGGCACCGCTGCGTCGTCGCAGGATCTGCGCGATGAAGCAAGCGTCGGGAGGGCTTCCGAAGGGTTCGCCTGTTGCACATCGAGACCCGATGCGACGGCGGCTCGCGGCTCTTCCTCGCGGTTTGACGAGTACTTCACCTTGCTGTCGCTCACCGACCGCTGGAGCGTCGTTTTGGGACTCGCGTCGCAAATATTCTGCAAGCTTCTGCTCTGCGAAGACACCGTCAGACCCACCCCACATCGTCCGAGAAACGCAGAATCGTTACGTTCTTCGGACGAACACGCGTCGCTTTCTGTGCTAACGCTGTCGTGGGATTGACTAGCGCTACTGGCCTGATCCACAAATCCGTTATCTTCGACCTGACCGTCGAAACTGATGTTGTGCATTGTGTTTATTAGCAAATAATACGCCTCTTTCAGTTGGGACTTCAATCTGTCGGTTTCGTTAGATTCCGACGCCGATATCGGCTCACCGATATTCGTATTTCGCTCTTTCAAGTGAGTGTGAGACTCATAAAAGGGCAGAGTTTGGTTATCATAATAATCGTCGTCCTCGCTGTCGACTGAGTGGTGTCGAGGGGCCCCCTCTCTCAACACAGGGGCCACTGTTATTTCCAGATCAGTGGGGAAAAAAGTCGGACTTTGTAATGCGGGCATCCTAAAATCTCCATGATATTCCAGCGAACTCTCTATAACCTGAATTAAATCGCTTTCAGCGTCTATATAATCAAACACATGAGGCTGGGGGCCCCTGGCGTGACGTTCAAAGTCGCTCGTAATGTTTTCCCCGGCCTTTTGCTCGAGTAGTGTAACATTTGGTCCTTTATTCTTTAGATCTTGGCCATCTGTTAGCTTTAAAGCCTCTCGTCGGGGTTTTAAATCGCAGCCGCTGAAGCCGATCGAGTCTCCGCGGACCCGCGGCGTTTGGAGACGCTTCAGCTCGGTGCGTTCGCTTTGATCAGCGGGACCCCCGGGCCCTGAGATCCCGGTGACACGCACAGCGCACCGGGGAGCCGCGCTGCAGCCGAGAGCGGCCACACACCTCTCCTCACCCCTCATCGCATGTGAAATGTAATCTCTCTCTGTCTGCGTTTGAGAAACTTTTTCTTTACCTTCTCTCGGCCGGTTCGCGGTGCTCGCGTCTTTCCCTTTGGGTTTCTTGCCCCTGAGTTTGGCTAGAATTGTCCTCCGCAGAGGATCAGCCATCGGTACCGATCCGATCCTCCAGCTTTAGTTCCGTTCAGCGGGGCTCCGGAGCAAAAGTAACCGTGTTAGAAGCGCATCCGTGCGGGCACGACACTCCGACACACCGCGGTCAGAGCGCTGCTCCATGATCCACTGAGATCAAATCACACGCGCACACACATTCTCTCTCTCTCTCTCTCTGTGTGTGTGTGTGTTGAAATAGTTCAGATAGTTTCTGTGGGGGTTAAAGGTTTAGAGGCGGAGCTCAAACAAACTCCACATGCAACCAGCAGCTCAGCAGCTACTTAACTCAACCAGCTTCTAACTAGTCTATGCAAGTGTGTACATTATTCTATCCTAAAACATACTAGTAATACAAACTACTTAAACTATATTACATGCATAACATACATATATTTCATACATAAATGAAAAAATATATATATTTATGAAAGTGTATGAATATATTTTTATATATGAAAGTATATATGTTATTATATATTTTTATGAAAGTAGGCCTATATATGTAAAATATGAATTTATAATAAAAATGTATCATGTATATATTGAAACATCTAAAAAATGTATATGTTTATATTAAATAAGTATGAATGCATATATTGTATTATGTATAAACATATTAAAGTATATTTTTATTATATAATTAATATTTCAGTGAAAGTGTATATATATATATACAGATATATATATATATATATATATATATATATATATGTATATATTTAAGAAAAATGTTGATGTTCGTCCCATAGCGACAGCATTGATTTATGACTGGAGCATACTGGATGAGTTGGCGATGGGTTTATATTACTGATCAGGCCTGTTTAGACAGATTACAGCTCAACACTGATATATGGACTAATAGGCTGATTATGTCTGAATAGGATAATCATCACAGGAATGACAGCCTCTGTGCTCTGCAGGGAAACTGTTTCTCATTCATATTCCGGCCTTCTTGTTTACAAACTTGTCAGCGCACGTCTGAGACGGACCAAGCACGCAGAGATCCCATCAACACGCCTGCATGTCCCGGCAGCCTCCGGCTTCTGGGAATAATCGGGAATTTTTGTCTGAAAGACAGTCAGTATCCGGCGAATCACTTCATCTCTTCCGTCAAAGATCCTGCGATTAAAATACTGACTCATGCTTTTCTTTTAGATTCGACAAGCATCCCACAGAGAGAGCCGAGAGAAACAAACAACATCTGAGGATGTTAATCCCTTATTTATAATCGGTTACCTCAGCAATAAATGCATTATTCAAACATTTCCGCTCTGATTGTTTTTTGGAATGTTCAGCATTTAAAGACTGTATTTTGATTACTATTATAAATGCAGCTAAACATTTTTTTAAATCTAGAGTGTTTGTAATCAGAACAATAAACTCATAGAAATTAAAATCATAATTAACATGCAAAAATCACACATTAACTTGATTAGACTTTTAATCTCTGCGTTATTAAACCTGATGTTCGTCCCATAGCGACAGCATTGATTTATGACTGGAGCATACTGGATGAGTTGGCGATGGGTTTATATTACTGATCAGGCCTGTTTAGACAGATTACAGCTCAACACTGATATATGGACTAATAGGCTGATTATGTCTGAATAGGATAATCATCACAGGAATGACAGCCTCTGTGCTCTGCAGGGAAACTGTTTCTCATTCATATTCCGGCCTTCTTGTTTACAAACTTGTCAGCGCACGTCTGAGACGGACCGAAGCACGCAGAGATCCCATCAACACACCTGCATGTCCCGGCAGCCTCCGGCTTCTGGGAATAATCGGGAATTTTTGTCTGAAAGACAGTCAGTATCCGGCAAATCACTTCATCTCTTCCATCAAAGATCCTGCGATTAAAATACTGACTCATGCTTTTCTCTAAGATTCCACAAACATAGAGAGCCGAGAGAAACAAACAACATTTCCGCTCTGATTTATTTTTTGGAATGTTCAGCATTTAAAGACTGTATTTTGATTACTATTATAAATGCAGCTAAACATTTTTTTAAATCTAGAGTGTTTGTAATCAGAACAATAAACTCATAGAAATTAAAATCATAATTAACATGCAAAAATCCCACTTTTTTCTAATTAAAAAAAAAGTTGTTTTTATTATTTCAAGATTGATTTTATGACATTCAATCAGTACTTAATTGTTTATCATTCAGGAGAACACTTGTATATACTAGTTTATTACTGAAAATATTGAAGTAACCACACACACACAGATAGACTTAAAAGTCTAAATATTTTCATATATATTTATATATTGTCTACAGAGTTTTTAATTTTAGTTTTAGTTATTGTAGTACAGTTAAATTGTTTATTTTTATGTTTTAGCTTAAAAAATAGAAAAAAAACATGCCCTTAAAGCATATCATTTTATTTATTGTATTATTTTTGTTTGATTTTTACATTAAAATGTAAAAAATTAATTTTATTGAAAAATTATTTAAATATTTTCTAAATGTTATCTGAAATTTTGTTTATTGAAAGATTAAAGTAAACAAAGAATTTTCTTTTTATTGCACTACTCTAATAAAAAATCTGATCTGTGTGCATGAGGCAATCTCATGCACATGGTTACTTCGGATTTCATTGCTAGGCATTTTTTAATCAGAATTGTTCAAAGCAGAAATTAATGAAATATGGCATACTATTAAAAATAATAGTAACAGTAATACTATTGTTATGAAAATACATAATACATTAAATTAATAGATATTATTTTTATATTAAGTCAACATAAATATTTTTATATAAATATAATTAATAAATTGTTCAATAAATACTTAATTTATTTTGTAATTAAATAAAAGACTTCAATATGTTGAAAAAATATATTATTTAAAAAATAATGTTTCCAACACATTTTGATTTTGACTACTCGAAAGAGAATATAGCTAAATTAATTTTTGTCAAAACTTCATTTGTGTTTCCTGCTAGCTAAATTTCACATACATAAACAAAAATCTGGCTCTAAATCTCTCTTTTCTTTATTCACAACTGATCTAGATGAGTATATGGAAACTATCCAAAGTTCTGTTCATCCTAAAGCAGTGAAAACTGTATCTCTGTATTCATCCTATGTGTCCTAGTTTTTTTCTTTCTTTTGTTGTTAACCTGGTAACACATCCCTTATGGAAATTAACCATGGTTTTACTACAAAAAAACAACAACAACAGCATGGTAACCACAAATTAACCATGGTTTTGCTACACTAACCATAGTTTAACCATAGTATTTGCATGGTTAATTTTTCTTAAGGGATCTATACTTACTTTTTTTTTTTTTTTTTTCATTTTTATTTGTTTTGTTTATATAGCTGTACTGCCTTAATGGTTTGATGTTTTGTACTGTTTATAAAAAAATCTGAAAAAAAGATTCGCGAACCAGTTCCAAGGCTCCGAATCAAATGATTCGCGAATCTGCTCCGAAGTACCGATCTGAATCAAATGATTCGCGATACGCGATCAGATTGGAGTGGAGTTGGAGTGAATCGTTTTGCTACGCAATGGTTTAAAGGGGTCATATGACGCTGCTAAAAAGAACATTATTTGGTGTATTTGGTGTAATGAAATGTGTTTATGCGGTTTAAAGTAAAAAAAACACATTATTTTCCACATACTGTGCAACATTATTGTTTCTCCTCTATGCCCCGCCTTTCTGAAACACGTCGATTTTTACAAAGCTCATCGGTCTGAAAAAGCGAGGTGTGCTGTGATTGGCCAGCTATCCAGGATTTGAGACTTTAGTCTTTGCAACTTTACAGATCTTCTTTATGCACCAAGAGCTTGTAACACTCGAAAGAGAAAGGAAAAATTGAAATCGCATCATATGACCCCTTTAACTGATTCGGAGTATAGAAAACCTCCGTTTCACTCATCACTACGTGCCTTTTAAAATCATTACAAGCCATGTCGAAATTCGAAAATGAATGGCTTTTTTTATTTGTTTTTGCTAGTGAATCGAGTTTGAATCAATTGAATCGGTTCCAGCGTAAATGACTCACTCAATTGAATCGGTTCGTCTGTTCTCCTTTTCTCGTCTTCAGTCATGTTTACACGACACTGTCAGCAATACTACTGGCTTAGCTCGCTAGTTTGATGACATTAACTGAAATAAGCGAAAAAAGTATGATGTTTACAAATAAAATATACATATTGCCATTCGCTTTCCACATCGAAACATCCAACACAAATTTAGGAACATATTCAGGTTTACTGCTAACTAGTGAAACACTTCATTAATATGACGAGCTGCAGCCCAAAATACATGTTAGATGGAAACATTGTGCATTATGATCGAGTTTGTAGCTTAATTCACTATATTTGAAATAGTTTGACTGCAGTTCAGTTGCTGACAGTTCAATAGAAATCAGTTGAAACATCCAGTGAATGCTGAATTTATGAGTATATATTGCAATAACTATTTGAGAAATTATTGTTGTATCTGATTGTATAGTCTATATAGAGTGAGTTTTAGCAAGTTTTAGATTTAGTTATTTTAGTAGCCTATCACAAACTATGACAATGATGATCTCAGGTACTGATTATTTGCTCTATTCAATGTTAAGCATGTCTAATGTGAGTTTGAATATCATTTTGTGTGATCTTTATAGCCATAATAAATGACAATATAGAGTTTACCTCAAATCTTGAAAATAAATGTAAGGAAACAAAAACGTTTAAACTGACAACTCTATTTGAACAAACGAGTTTATTCTATGAAAAAAGTGTATCAGTCACTCCGTATGTATTTTAATAATGTTAAAATTGTTTAATATTTCTAAATTAGATCATGTACTTATCCATTCTGTAGCGAGTGCGCTTGCAGAGAGAGGCTCCGCCCACTCTCGCTTCTGATTGGCTCTGATTTTTGATGCGTTTTTTGATGCGTTGATGCTTGCGCCAGCAGTTGTACACGGAAGCAGTTCCGGGAGGATGACGTATGAGGTCAGCGTTGCGCATGCGACGGTGAGGAAAACCAACGTTTGTTAACAGGAGCAAAGGAAGCAAAGTTTCCTTACTTTAGCAAAGGAAAACCAGTCTCCTCTTGGCTTATATCGAAATCCTCCGACATTCTTCTTTACAAATCCTCGTTTTGTACTTCTAATTAGTGACCGTTGTTTTGTTTTGATCTCTCCGCTGCGTTTCCTTTAAGATGTCAGTTTTACATTCATTCTAAATCATAAACATCTTAAAGACATCTGCTAAACGTCTATTTGACATCTGATAGGAAACGTCCTATAGACGTATCGCAGATGAGCAAACACTCTAAAAAATACATCTTGCAGACGTCAAATAGACGTCTCTGTGATGTACGTGTGCTATCAGGGTATTAAAGTAAACCACCTAGCAACCACCCAAAACACCCTAGCAACCGCATGGCAACACACTAATAACAGCCTAGCATCATGCAGACACATTTAGCCCAGTCAAACGTGACTCCTGTCAGTCTGAACACACCGGTCAGTCTGGTGTGACGCGGTCTGCTGTGGTCTTTATTAAACCGGCCTCTCCTCCCGCTGGTTCTCGGGCCGAGGGTCAGACTGCTCCGGCCGTCCATCTGTGATGAATGAATAGTGCTCTCCCACACACATCATCAAAGCTGTTCAATCTATCCGTCAAATCACAGACTACCAAACTACATAGTGTCTGAGATTACAATCAGTACACCGCAAATCACTTAAAACAGCACTTCATACGTGTCTAGATAAAGCCTAGAAGTGAAGGAAATGAACATTGCTCTACTGTAACAGTAGGACAAGTGCATCTCAAATCAAGTGTTTGGATGGTGAACTATTTAGGGAGGATTTTAGAAGTGCACTGAAGAACATAAGAACACTTGAGTTAATATTACCAATGTGTTTCAGCTGTTGATCAATAATGAGGAATGTGACAGCAAAGCTGCTTTTAGTATAAAAAAAAAAGAATCAATTTATGGTTATAGAAATGATTATAGAATACATATATTTCAATAAACTTGTTAGAAGTCTTTAAAATAATCGAAATATATATTATATAAAAGTTCAATAAACTTACAAGTTATTACAATTATTACAATTAATATTTTTAATAATTATTAATTAATAATTTTGCCAATTACCAATTTTAATAAGAATTTCAACAACGTACGTATATATATATATATATATATATATATATATATATATAGCAATAAACAATAAACCAGTTGTAAGTCATTGAAATTATATATATATATATGAATTTGTTATTATTCCTGTTTTATTTTTTTTTTTAGTCTGCAAGGAGGAATGGCAGAGGATCCCCAAATCCAGTGGATATAACCTTGTTGCATCTTTCCCAAAAAGACTCATGGCTGTATTAGATCAAAAGGGTGCTTCTACTAAATACTGAGCAAAGGGTCTGAATACTTAGGACCATGTGATATTTCAGTTTTTCTTTTTTAATAAATCTGCAAAAATGTCAACAATTCTGTGTTTTTCTGTCAATATGGGGTGCTGTGTGTACATTAATGAGGAAAAAAAATGAACTTAAATGATTTTAGCAAATGGCTGCAATATAACAAAGAGTGAAAATTTTAAGGGGGTCTGAATACTTTCCGTACCCACTGTATATATACACTTGTACGTTGTTGAATTCTTATTAAAATTGGTAATATAAGTTTAATGACTTGTAATATATTATTTAAAGTAATAATATCAATAATATAATATATTGTAATTAATTTATATTAATAATAATGATAATCTAAATCACAAACAAATATATACTATATGTAAATATATAATTGGCTTTCTTCAAAAAAATAAAATAAATAAAATAAAATACAATTCACACTGACTTCCTGTTTCTACAGAATAAATATTACTTTACAACTTCAGTGCTCATGGCAGGTCTGTTATGAAAAATCAGTTCCTCTATTTGTTTTTGCTCTATAGTCTATACTGTCGCCCGGTCTTACTAGATAGGCTACTCAAGCACAAGTATGGACTTCCCCGCTGACTGAAGGTCGCAGTTTCCGGTTTCTCGTCGCTATGGTGACGGACAGTAGTGACGACCGCTCTGCCTTTAATGAATACACATACTGTCAGCCGAGCCCATTCATAACACACAAACGCCATGGGAACCTCAGATCTGAATATGTATGAAGGCCGTATGTCTCCATAAACAGCCGCAACAAACGCACAAATACAGCTGTACATTTCCACGAGAGCCCAGCAAATACACCAGACGCTGAACACGTCAAATAGAAGAAAATCTGAGCGATGTTTGTCATGGTAAAAGGATGCGTGGTTGCTAGGGCGTTGCTAGGGGTGCCCTGTGTGGTTACTAGGGCGTTGCTATGCAGTTGCTAGGGTGTTCTAGGTCATTTCTACCACTCTCAAGGAGAGAAGAAAAAACAACAACAACCCGTATACATAGATGCATTAAATAAAATCCTAAATAAATGCACATATATGCAATATCTGAGATAAATATCATGGTACTAACTAAAATTAAAACCATTTTAAAAAATGTGACGTAAAAATGGTTTTCATTTATATTTCAGTAAAAGTTTATTTTATTTACTGAAATAAAATAAACTTGAATTAAAATTGTAAAAAAACAACTTAAACTTATTTCAGCCTTTTCATTTCTCATTTTTGTTTAGTTTAACTTGAAGTACTAAAATAACTAAATCTAAAACACAAACACAACATAAAAAAAAACTAAAACTAAAACTAATAAAAACAACTAAATTAATTGAAATTAAATTTAAATGAATGTATTAAAATGAAAACAGAAAATATAAAAATAAAAACTAATTCAAAATATTAATAAACACATAAACACATATGTGTGTGTCTTTAAAAAAAAATCTTTCTACAGAATGTCTAAAATTAAAATGAAAACAAAACAAATTCAAAATATGAATAAATACACACACAAACATGTATAGAAAAATATAGTACAGTACATAGGTGTAGTGAAGTTCCTCCAAGAGTAAAATTAAATAAAAATTATTTCTACAGAAAATTAAAATGAAAACAAGAACTATAAAATAAAAACAAATTCAAAATATTAAAATTAAATAATAATTAAAAATGCAAAAATAATTTAATACATTTATTTTTGGTTTCTACATAATAATAAATAATCACAATTTGAGGAATCATTCATGTCTGGAGCACAAACACTAAAACTTTAATACTTAACGAGATACAAACAGAGACTCAGAGAAAAGGACTTTATCCATTTGAGAAGCTACAAATCATTGGAAACATACAGGAAACATCATAACCAATGGATAATGTTCCATACAGCTACAAATTTACAGTTGAAATCATACTTACAATGACGTCCAAAACACAAACACATCATCCTAAACCCTCTCCCTTTACATGGACGTTATTTTAGAGAAATACATTTAAAATATCCCCAGACTCGTGATGCCGTTCCAGTCAACATCCAGAAAGGGTTAAAGATTCGGGGATTAAAACAAGCGGAGCGGGTTACAGCTCCGCTTCACTCCACGCTCTGACGCAGGATCCGCTTCTCCTCTTCCACAAAGCTCTTGTCTGACGTGGCCTGTCCCATGTCCCGCTTTCTCTTCTCCTTCTGCTGGAACGTTTCCACGCGACGCTTCTTAGCAGACGTCTGCTGCTTCCCAGATTCATCGTCATCTGTGATGATAAAGAGTGCCCCAAACTTCAAAAACGTGTCAAGATAGATAGAATGACAGACAGACAGACAGACAGATAGATAGATAGATAGATAGATAGAACGACAGATAGATAGAATGATAGACACACAGATAGACACATAGATAGACAGACAGACAGATAGAACGACAGACAGACAGATAGACAGATAGATAAAATGATAGACACACAGATAGATAGATAGACAGACAAATATATGGATCGATCGATAGACACAGACAGACATACAGACAGACAGACAGACAGACAGATAGATAGATAGATAGATAGAACGACAGAGATAGAATGATAGACACACAGAGAGACAGACAGACAGACAGATAGATAGATAGATAGAATGACAGATAGATAGAATGATAGACACAGATAGATAGACAGACAGACAGATAGAACGACAGAGATAGAATGATAGACACACAGATAGACAGACAGACAGACAGATAGATAGATAGATAGAACGACAGATAGATAGAATGATAGACACATAGATAGACACATAGATAGATAGACAGACAGACAGACAGATAGAATGATAGAACGACAGACAGACAGATAGATAAAATGATAGACACACAGATAGATGATAGATAGATAGATAGATAGATAGATAGATGGACGGACGGACGGACGGACGGACGGACAGATAGAATGATAGAACGACAGATAGATAGAACGACAGACAGACAGACAGACAGATAAGATAGATAGACAGACAGACAGACAGACAGACAGACAGAACGACAGACAGATAGACAGATAGATAGATAGAACAACAGAGATAGAATGATAGACACACAGATAGACACATAGATAGATAGACAGACAGATAGACAGACAGAAAGATAGAACGACAGACAGACAGATAGACA